AGGTGTAAAATGAAAAAAAAAAATTTTTTTTTTTGAGACAGGGTCTCACTCTGTCACCCAGGCTGGAATTCAGTGGCATGATCTTGCTCACTGCAACCTCGACCTCCCCGGGCTCAAGCCATCCTCCCACCTCAGCCTCCTGAGTAGCTGGGACTATAGGCGTGCACCATCATGCCCAGCTAATTTTTGTGTTATGTATGTATGTATGTATTTATTTATTCTGTAGAGGTGAGGTTTTGCCATATTGCCCATGCTGGTCTCAAACTCCTGGGCTCAAGTGATCCACTTGCCTTGGTCTCCCAAAGTGCTAGGATTACAGGCATGAAAATAAAAATGATAAATGTTTTAGTGAAATGTCCAAAAGGCCAGTTGTTGCTGGTAAACTGCAAATTCATTCATCTAGTTATACAAAAAATATAATATAGGTACATCTAAAAAGGTTCGATATGGTGAAGGGTGTGGTAATAGATCCTAGCTCCTCTGAAGATCTTAAAACATATGTCTATCTATCTCTGTCTTCTCTTTGGATGGGATGTAAACTCCTGGAGTATTCAAACTGTCTTATTTATTCTGGTATTTCCACTTCTGGCAGAGTGACACGTAAGCATTTAATACATCACTGAATGAAGGACTGACTGAAGGTAATAATGGTCAAATGTAGTGTAGTGTTCACTGAGGTTATGCCAGTTTTCACAGCATATAAAACACTTGAGTTGGCCAAAGTCAGCTTAGGTGTCATGCACTTTGTTGGTAAAAGGCTAATGTAATTTTTTTTTTAATGTGGGGATTTGTTAAGCAAAGACCATGTAGTTTTCTGATAGATTTGACTAGTATTTTCCCATCTGTGAAGTAAATGTAGCAGATTTTATTATCCCCATTAAAAAAATTAAAACAATCTGAGGCATGGAAAGGTTCTAAAGAAATATAGTTAGTTGAGATATACTAATGATAGACTTGAGATTCCAGACGAGAGACAGGGTCTCCCATCCACCTCCTTTTGCTAGAATACGATGCCTTCCTGTTAGACTAGTTTCTCTGTCTTCCTATTGCACTTCACTTCTTGATCTTTTTCCAGGGAAGCTACTATTTTGAAGTTAAAAAAAGAGGTTTATTGTAAGCAATACTGAAAACAATTTATATCTTACAGATATGTGCTCTTGATTTAATGGGGAAAAAAGGGCAAATTGTTAGAGAAAAGGATCTGAAGATGTTTGTAAAGTCACTATTTTAAACAATCAGTTATTTAATACCCATTCTACGGATTTTTACACTAAGGTGAAAATATGAATAGTGGATTTGCTAGTTACAACTTGGAGCTCTAGTCTCTGCCAGACTTAGGCTTCTGTGTTTTAGGGAGAAAGATGCCCATTGAGTGGGAAAACTAGAGGGAGTCCTCACTAATCCTAAAACGTTAACTTTATGTATGCAAATTATATTGTTTCTTTTTTTCTTTTTTTTTTTTTGAGATGGAGTTTCGTTCTTGTCGCCCAGGCTGGAGTACAGTGGCACGATCTTGGCTCACTGCAGCCTCCACCTCCCAGGTTCAAGCGATTCTCCTGCCTCAGACTCTAAAGTAGCTGGGATTGCAGGCACTCGCCATGCCACCCAGCTAATTTTTGTATTTTTAGTAGAGATGGGGTTTCGCCATGTTGGCCAGGCTGGTCTCAAACTCCTGACCTCAGGTGATCCACCTGCCTTGGCCTCCCAAAGTAGGGGGATAACAGGTGTGAGCCACTGCGCCTGGCCGATATTGTTTCAATATAAGCATGTGTACTGATGAAGATCTAGATTAAACTTGCTTATCTAGGGAAGAGTATCTTTTCACTCTAATATTGAACTCTAAAAAAGGTACAAAAGGAAGTAATAAAACACACTTGAAATACAGGAGTATTTTGCCCTGGACTTGGACTGGGTGGGGTGATGTGTCTTTTTGAAGGTTGTCACAGGTTTGGGGCCAAATCAGGAGAACTATAGGAGCAAATTCACAGGAGCAAATCTGAGGCTTGAAAAATATATCATGAAAACGTGAATTTCACCAGCTTTAGTTCTTACTCTTTCAGTTCACAGTCTCTTTATTTTCATGTTTTCTAGGCAAAGTTAATTGAACATAATAATAGTAGGTATTCATTTATCCACTCATCCATTCACTTATTCAACTAATATTTGCCAAATTCTTACTATGTGCAAGACACTTACATATAATGTAAGAGAAACAGTGATGTTCCAACCTGTGTTAACATTATGAAAAAGCTGTCTCAAATTTATTTTGGCAAAGGGAAAAGCAGGGTATAATAAAATAATTGTTATTGAAAACTTTATATACATAGTGGATAAAAGCATAATTGATGATAAGGGTGGAAGGAATTATTAGGACATATTTGAATATATTAATATATTCAGAAGCGAACTGCCACTTATTTGCTGTGTAGTAATTTATTTTCCTCATCTGTAAAATGGGAATGAGTATCTACCTCATAGGAAAGTTGTGAAAGAACATTGCAAATATTGGAAATTTATCTGTAAAGAGACTGGCGTGATTCTCAGCACATGCTCAACAAATGGTAGCTATTGTTATTATGGATAACTCGGATTTAATATAACAAAGAGTCACACTTCTATAAATCCTTTGGTGAGGATAGTAACTGAGAAGATGTTCTAGGATAGATAATTCAAATTTCATTTTTAGAGTAAGGGCTTCAGTAATTTCATGTTAAGATAAATATGAAAAATTAGGCATCAGTGAGTCAGGCAATTCTGCAATCATAGTAGTATTCCTACAATTTAATAGAGTCCATAGAAGTAAAAAAGGTATAAGTGATAAGCCAAAGTAAATCTTTCTTTTTTTTTGAGACGGAGTCCCATATAAATCTTTCATACATAGAATGTAGAGATGAATTTCAAATATTTGCATCGCATCGGGATTAGGACAGTGGCCACTAATTAAGAATTTAAGTCCTCCTCAGCCCTGCTGGTGCCCATAATAAGGGTTTGTTTAGATTAAACTTCTGTTTAATTTCTTTCCGTTAAAGATCTCCTTCTGGCTTTTTTTTTTTTTTTTTTTGGAGACGGAGTTTCGTTCTTGTTGCCCAGGCTGGAGGGTAATAAGCGCGATCTCGGCTCACGGCAACCTCCGCTTCCCGGGTTCAAGCGATTCTCCCGAGTAGCTGGGACTACAGGCGCGTGCCACCATGCCCGGCTAATATTTTGTACTTTTAGTAGAGACAGGGTTTCTCCATGTTGATCAGGCTGGTCTCCAACTCCCGACCTCAGGTGTCCACTCGCCTCGGCCTCCCGAAGTGCTGGGATTACAGGCGTGAGCCACCGTGTCCGGCCTCTTTCTGGCTTTTAAAAACATGTTTGGGCCGGGCACGGTGGCTCACGCCTGTAATTCCAGCACTTTGGGAGGCAAGAGGCAGGCGGATCATGAGGTCAGGAGATCGAGACCATCCTGGCTAACACGGTGAAACCCCGTCTCTACTAAAAATACAAAAAATTAGCCTGGCGTAGTGGCATGCGCCTGTAGTCCCAGCTACTCGGAAGGCTAAGGCAGGAGGATCACTTGAACCCGGGAGGCGGAGGTTGCAGTGAGCTGATATCTGCCACTGCTCTCCAGCCTGGGCGACAAAACGAGACTCGTCTCAAAAAACAAAACAAAACAAAAAACATGTTTGAACCTTCATCTTAGAACACTTCAACATTTTCTCCTATGTGATATATATTATAGAATTGATAGGACCAAATCTCACTCTAATATTTGCATATCATCAACCTAGTCTTTTTATTTTCGCCTTAAAGTTTACTTGAATTTGGCATTAACATTTAGTTTTTCATTTTTAAAGGATTAAAATAATAGAGCCATTTGATTCTGTGCCACTTGCCAATGTTTAGATACAATAAACACTTTGACTTTTCCTTAATACTGCAGAAGCTGCAACTGGAAAATTCTACCCTGCGTTGTAGACAATGGACATATTTCACAGGAGTTTTTTGTTTTTAGTTTTAAGCTCTGATTTCCAAATTATGATTTAAAAAGTATTTCATGCCCTCTGCACTAAGTTAGGTGATCACAGATGCAAAACCTACACCCAGCTTTGGAAAGAGTTCTAGAGAGAAGCCCTACCAATGGTTTGTTTTTGGCTAACATAGCACGTTGTATTAGTTTTCAAACAAAAGTTTGAAATCAGCTTATACCTAACCTCAGAACGAGGGACAGATGTTTTTCTCCGGCATTCTGTTTGCTGTAATTTGTGCTGAGAGATTCGCTGGTCGTTTTGAAGCGATTTTTACGCCCCCTCCTTGGTGCGACCTCCACTTGCGCTATGGGCCCTGCCTGGTGGGAAAGGCAGCGGGCAGAAGGGACCCCAAAACGCACTCTCGGGGATGCTCCTGAGTCAGTGAGCAAGTGATTTCCCTCTGCGGGTTCATCTAGTTCCCGTTAGCTCAACCCTGGGTTTAGAGGAAGAACGAAATCCAGAGAGTGAAGCTGGGAGGGGAATGCGTGGCAAAAACTCATGGAAAAAAAAAAAAAACAAAAAAAACCCAACCCAGTTTCAAGGACTATGCTGCAACCCGCCAAGCGGTGGCTTTGCTTAAGCTGCTGTAACCAGCTGCTTCACCCTGCTCCTCGAACTTGCTTGAGTTCCGAGGGAAGCGCCTGCTTTTCGGGTGCGTGGCCAGGGTGGGTGGTGGCCAGGATTCGAAGGCGACAGCGAAGGGGAGCGAGTTCCTGGGATGGAACTTGACGCGGAACCCGGGGTCCCATCGAGGGGCTCCCCACGGCCTCGGGTGCTTGGGCTGCGATTGGTTTTTCATTTGGCATAGGCGTGGGGGGTAGGAGGCAAAGTGGCAAGGGCTTTCCCGGGCTCACAGTGTCTCACGGTCCGCCACTGCCTGCGGTGGCGCTTGGCTTGACCCCGACTCGGGCCCAGCACGAGGCGGCGGTCAAAGGGCGTGCTCGCAGCAACCGCAGGGCACGCGGGTCGGCCGCGCGGGGGGCGGGGCGGCGGTGGCGGTTGCGGGGCATGCGCGGCTCCGCGCGCGGCTTCTCAAACATGGCGGCGGCGGTGTGAAGCTCGGTGCCGGCTCGCGCGATCGGTGGGACAGAATTTCGTTGTTTTCACCGACGAGACTGGAGGTACGTGGTGATTCCGGGCCCCGTAAGGAATGGAGAAGCGGAGCTGTCTCCCGGACCCTGACCGTTGTCCGTGGGCGGGCGGGGAGAAGCCATCTGCGCGCGTCCCGTGCGAGGAACGCCCCCTTACGATCCCGCCGATGTCCCATCGCAGCTCGGCCTCGTGCTTCGGTCTCCCGCCCCAGGCGCCCTCCGCGGACGCCCGTAAGCCGCTCTCGCGCTTCCCCTCACGCTGCCCCGGGGCCCCTTCGCCGCTGCGGGGTTTGGGCGCCCGGCCGATAGCTTCCATCCGTCCCCTTGCCTGCAGCGCGGACAGCGCCCTCCGGCGCATCCTCCCTGTTAGGTAGCGCTGGGCTGGGGCCCGGGAGGCGTCACGGTGGGCGGCGGGGCCGAGGAGGGAGGTTGACTTTGCCTGGTCTGGGCTAGGATAACTTTTGGAGCTTGGGAGGGAAACGTCTGCCCGGAAGGATGCGCCTGTGGCGGCGGCGTGCGGGCGCGTATTCTGGTGCCAGGTGCGCGCCGCCGGGCTCCTGGCGGGGGCTGGGGGCGCCAGTGGCTCACCCTAGCGGTGCAGCGGGACCGGAGGGCGGGTCCCGTCCGGGGCTGGCGGGGAGGCGAGGGGGGGCTCTAAGCCTCCTGAGGGGACGAGAGACGGCCGCGATGGCCGTGCCTCGCGGCCTGACCGAAAAAAAGTTGCTGCCTTCACTTAGAAACAGTCCCGAAATAGTTTCTTACCTTTCTCCCTTTTCCCACTGGATCGTGCTTGTGCCCCATCCAGGTGTGAAGAGCCGGAGGGAGAACGGGTCTAGGTGAATTTGCTCGATTTTGCGCCTCGAGGTTGTACATAGATAGCGTCCTGGGCCGACCTGTAATTCGGCTCCCCCACCCCCCAAATGTTTGAGCAGCACAAATATTTACTTACAGGCTCCCATTTGAGACTATTGATTTTTTAAAAAGAGGTTGTTAAACATTTGTCAAGCATCAGAAAGTGTGATTGCAATTTGAAATTTGCTTCTTGTTTGTAAATTAGGAGATTAACGTTTATGACTTATTTTAGGGCATCTCTGGAAAGTTAATGGATCGGTTAGTGGGGGTAAACTGAGGCAGGGAAAGTAAATAACTTGCTTATGATCATATGATTTACAGAACTATTGGAGATAGGTGTTTTTTTTCCCTGAAACAACTTCAGATGCTGCTACATTTTAATGCCCCCAGAGCTATTCATATTTCTGTTTTGAGGGATACAACATTTATGGAGTACAACTGCCTATGATGAGCAATTGTTTTATAACAATGGTTCATAAACGCATATTTAATTCTTTTCAGTAATAGTGTAGGGAAATGTTTTTCAATAATGACGATTTTGCCTTTTTTCTTACTCATTAAATAAAGTATTTCCAATGACGAATGTGCTTTCAGGCTGTGTGTGTGTGTGTGTGTGTATGTGTTTTCTATTTAATGGGAGGAATGTGAAAATAAGCTTTTGGAAATGAATCCAGTGGGATTTTGAGAAAAGATTGAGTTTATGAATATTCACCTGATGCCTTGTATTTAGCTTTATCTGTAACCTTTAAAACAGTCTGATAGAATGTAAAGAAAAAACACCATTTAAACTGGCTTTGAAAGTTTTGAATAAACTTTATATTTATATCATGCAGCCATATGAGCTTCTTAAGGATGTATACTTGTTTACCCCAGAGAACCTGATTTGCTTTGGAATTGGTAGTTGGAAAAAAAGATTAATATAACTCTACTGCATTGTATGTGCCGACGCTTTGAAGTTGAGTGTCATAACATGTACAAAAAACAATGGAGTCAGTCTAAAAAAAGATGTATCAGTTTTTCTTATGAGGTGGTTGATCAGTCCATTTGATTTATGATTCCATCAACACATCTTTTTTTTTTGAGACAGAGTCTGGCTCTGTCGCCCAGGCTGGAGTGCAGTGGCGCGATCTCGGCTCACTGCAAACTCCGCCTTCCGGGTTCACGCCATTCTCCTGCCTGAGCCTCTGGAGTAGCTGGGACTACAGGCGCCCGCCACTGCACCCAGCTAAGTTTTTGTATTTTTAGTAGAGACTGGGTTTCACTGTGGTCTCGGTCTCCTGACCTCGTGATCCGCCCACCTTGGCCTCCCAAAGTGCTGGGATTACAGGCGTGAGCCACCGCGCCCAGCCCATCAACACATCTTTATTAAGCACCTGTGCTGTCTTTACGATGGAGTTCAGTTTATTCAGAGCCCACTATGTGTCTATGTGTGCTAATTTCTGGGTGTCTAAGGCTTTCCACCCATAGTTTATTCCTGAAAATTTCGGGGGGTTATAGCTAAAAAAACAATTCGAATGTAGAACAAGTATTCCTTTCATTCAAAGGGCGAACTCGAGAAGTCAGTATTTTTGTCGTAATTCTCCAAACAAAATTCTGAGTGTAACTGCAAATTATTTCTGACTTAGGTGATATTAACTTTGTGATTTTTTGGTTAGGATTATATAAAGCTATATATTTTGATGAGATTATTTTCTGGTTCAAATAGATAACATACTGGTTAAGCTTGAGGGGAAAAATGAGTTGCTGGTATAAATAGAAATCAATATGTGCTCTGGAGATTGGGTAATTTTTAATACTAAGCAACCTCACTTCTATTACTAAGTAGTTTAAGCTGTAATTAAGTTTTAACTGGTATTTTAAGGCATTTTGTTTTTTCAAAATATTGCAGAAATCTCTGAGCTCAGAAATAACAAATAAGGGTTATGATCTTCAGCTCTAAGCCAGATGTGACTCTTATTTTCTTTTGGGCTTGTTCCTTTTTAGCTGCCTGCCTGTTCCTCCCAGATGCTTCCTATCACCCCTCTTCCTGCCCCTGTTCCCTTCGCTGTTGGTGTCTGTTTCCGCATCAGTGAAATGGTCAGGGTAATCCTTCGCTGCCTCACTGAGAAATAATTAATGATGATAAAGTGCCTTGAAAAGGCTGAGTAAATACCAAGTCTTTTGAATTAACATGATGTAGCCACTTGTTCCATTTAAGGAAGAGCCAAATTCCAATTTTAGTTTGAGATCTTGGGGGTGGGAGAGAAAAGTTTCACTTGAATATTTTACTGCCTTTCTTTTTGGGTTAATAGCAATGACTTTTGTAACTCTAGTAACTGGAACACGGGTGGATACAGCAGTATCCTCTGCTGTTTGCCTTATTAGTCACCTCTAGTATTTTTTTTTGGCCTGGTTATCCTGTCTGCCATTTTTCTCCTGCTATTCTCTTTCCACTTGTAAATGGAAATCTGAGGTAGTGGTGGTCTCTGTTAGCTCCCCTCTCGGGGTGGGGAGGGTAGGTCTCACTGTCTCCTCATAGTCATATTCCTGATTTTTAGGATATACAGGAACAAAGTGGGCTCTGCCAGCTGTCAACCTTAGAGCTATGAGCTGTGGTGCAAATATTAGTCTGGTGTTGCCAGAAGGTGTTTTCTAGTTTGCAGTGGGCAAATCAAGCATCCCTAGTAATTTTAGAACTCTCAGTAATTAATGTCTGAGAATTACTACATAATACCTTAGAATTTGAACTGATTGTTGATTCCAGGAACTAAAAACCTGGACATTTTGAAAATAGCAAATGTTGGTGATTTTTTTTTTTTTTTTTGAGACGTGCTCACGCTCTGTTGCCCAGGCTGTGTAGTGCAGGGGCGTGATCTCAGCCCACTGCAGCCTCTGCCTCCTGCGTTCAAGCAGTTTTCCCACCTCAGCCTCCCGAGTAGCTGGGATTACAGGGGTGCGCCACCGTGCCCAGCTAATTTTTGCATTTTTAGTAGAGACAGGGTTTCACCTAGTTGGCCAGGCTGGTCTCAAACTCCTGACCTCAGGTGATTCTCCCACAGTGCTGGGATTACAGGTGTGAGCCACCATGTCCGGCTCCATGTTGGTAATTTTGAAAGAAGAGTTTATACCCATCCCTGGCTTTGGAGCTTAACATTCATGATCTCTTTGTCTTGGGGAAATAGATAAAAGAAACCACTGGCGTTTATCTTAGATTAAAATGGCATAATTTATACCATTATATGAATACTGGTATAATTTAGTGGTAAGTACATTTTTTAGACTCTTAATCTTAAGTACATTAGGCTTTGGTTACCATTTATAAAAAGAGTTTGTGGTGGTTCTTTTTTGATACAGAGTCTTGCTCTGTTACCCAGGCTGGAGTGCAGGTACAATCTTGGCTCATTGCAACTTCTGCCTCCTGGCTTCAAGCGATTCTCCTGCCTCAGCCTCCTGAGTTGCTGGGACTATAGACATGTACTACCACGCCAAGCTGAATTTTTTTTTTTCCCCGAGATGGAGTCTCATTTTGTCACCCAGGCTGGAGTACAGTGGCACAATCTCAGCTCACTGCAACCTCTGCCTCCCACGTTCAAGTGATTCTCTTGCCTAAGCCTCCCAAGTAGCTGGACTACAGGTGTGCACCACCGAGCCTGGCTAATTTTTGTATTTTTAGTAGAGATGGGGTTTTGCCATGTTGGCCAGGCTGGTCTCAAACTCCTGACCTGAGGTGATCCACCCACTTCTGCTGCCTCCCCAAGTGCTGGGATTACAGGCAGGAGCCACCAAATCTGGCCTTTTTTTTTTTTTTTTTTTTGAGAGTCTTGCTCTGTTGCCCAGGCTGGAGTGCGGTGGTGTGATCTCAGCTTACTGCAACCTCTGCTTCCTGGGTTCAAGCAATTCTTGTGCCTCAGCCTCCTGAGTAGCTGGGATTACAGGTGTGTATCACCATGCCCGCTAATTTTTGTATTTTTCATAATTTTTATTTTTAGTAGAGATGGGATTTCACCATGTTGGCCAGGCTGGTCTCGAATTCCTGGGCTCAAGTGATCCTCCTGCCTTGGCTTCCTGAAGTTCTGGGATTACAGGTGTGAGCCACCTCGCCCTGCCAACGGTGGTTCTTAAAAATAATTTGAAAAAATTTTAGAAACTGTCAAGATTTGAAATGTGTATGTGTTCTTTGGTTTTCATGACAAAGGCAA